TGTACGTTTTTATATTATTGTCGCCATTATCATTGATATGATGATAATTATCATGATAATGATAATAGTTATAATAATAATGATGATGGTGATAATAATAATAATAATGATAATAATGATAATAATGATAATATTATTAATAATGATAATAATGATAATAATGATGATGATAACAATCAAGATGATGATTAATAATAATAATGTTAAATATGATAATGATAATAATGATAATAATGATAATAATGATAATAATGATAATAATAATGATAATAATGATAATAATGATAATAATAATGATAATAATAATGATAATGCTGTTAATAGTAATAATAATGATAAAAATAATGAGGATGATTATCATTATTGTTCATACCATTATTATCATTATCTTTGTAATTTGTGTTATTATTATTATTGTTATTATTATTATTATTATTATTATTATTATTATTTATTATCGTGATCATTATTATTGTTATTATTATCATTATCATTGTTACTATTGTTGTTGTTATTGTTATTATTATCATCTTCAACATCACTGTTTTTATCATTATCATTATTATCAATAATATTGTGATAATTATCACTGTCATTGTTATTATTATTATCATTATTATTATTATTATCATTACTGTTATCATAATCATTGTTACTATTATCATTATTGTCTTTATTATATTATTATCATTATTATCATCATCATTATTATCATCATCATCATCATCATCATCATCATCATCATCATCATCATCATCATCATCATCATCATCATCATCATCATCATCATCATCATCATCATCATCATTATTTATCATTCCGTATCAATCATCATTATTATCATTGCTGCTGTTGCCACTGTTGTTGGGGAATCACGAACCACTGCTGTGACACCGCCCTAAAACCGCTACACATAAAACGGGTTTAGTGAAGGATTAGACTTTGATTTCTTGTTGTTGTTGTGACGGTTTTCTTTGGTGGTGTTGCCATGGTTGTTCCTCTTACTACTGCTACTACTATTACTACTGCTGCTGCTTTTAATGCCTTTGCTGCTGTTGCTATTGCTACTACTACTAGATCTACTACTACTACTACTACTAATAATAATAATTCTGCTACTACTACTACTACTATATCTGCTATTGCCACTACTACTACTACTACTGCTGTTGCTGCTGCTGCTACTACTACAACTACTAGTAGTACTATTACTGCTACTGCTATTACTTCTACTGCTGCTGTTGCTGTTGCTATTGCTACTACTGCTATTATTATCAATGCCATTATCGCTATCGTTATTGCTTCAGTCACTATTATGTCAGTTTTCCATCTCTCTCTCTCCATACTTCCTTCTTTCCCTCCCTCACTCCCTCACTCCCTCATCTCCGTCCCTCCTTCCTTCCTCCCCTAACTCCCTTATTTCTTTCCTTCCCTCTCTCCTTCTCTCTCTCATCTCCGTCCCTCCTTCCTTCCCTAACTCCCTCCTTTCTTCCTCTCTCATCCTCTTCCCTCCTTCCTTCCTAACTCTCCTTTCTTTCCTCTCTCCTCCCTCCTCCTCCTCCTCACTCCCTCCTTCTCTCCCTCACTCCCTCCTTCCCCCCCTCATTCATACTCCCTCTGTCTATTTCTCTCTTCCTGTGCACAGGCGTTCTGTGTGTGTGAGTGTGTGTGTGTAAATCCGTCCATAACGAGCAGTCAGAAAGAGACACACATGAATGAAGAGGAAGAAATATTGACACAGGGAGGGTTAGCCGCCACGCTGTCAAGGAGAAAGACAGTCAAGTAGGCAAACCTGTCAGGCACAAAGACAGGCTTAACGGGCAGATTTGCGAGTAGACTGACAGGAAGGCTGGGAAGCGCATAGACTTCCTGTCATAAGGAGAGGCTTCCAGGCTATTCCGATGAGTGGAAAAAGGGGTAAGGATAAACAAACGAAAAGGGCTGATTTAAAAGGCAAAATTTAGACAGGAGACATCCAGAGAGACAGGCGAAAGTAAAAGGCAAACAGACAAGCAAGCAGACACGCAAACACGCAATGTTATGATATCAGTCGCCATCGCATCAACCACGTCTTCAAATCTCTCAAGAAGCGTCGAATATCTGACGACTTTTTGACGAAACGCCTTTAAGGAGCCATTGCTGGGAAATCGGTCTCCTTCGCTCGCGCTTCTCCCGCCTTATTTGCCTCTTTCTCCTCGTCTTCGCCTCCCCCTCCCCCCTGGCCTCATTCCCCCCCCTCAACCCCTCCCCCTGGCCTCAACCCCCTCCCCCTGGCCTCAACCCCCCTCCCCCTGGCCTCAACCCCCTCCCCCTGGCCTCAACCCCCTCCCCCCTGGCCTCAACCCCTCCCCCCTGGCCTCTGGCCTCAACCCTCCCCCTGGCCTCAAACCCTCCCCCCTGCCTCCCCTCCCTGGCCTCAACCCCCTCCCCCCTGGCCTCAACCCCTCCCCCTGGCCTCAACCCCCTCACCCTGGCCTCAACCCCCTCCCCTGGCCTCAACCCCTCCCCCTGGCCTCAACCCCTCCCCCTGGCCTCACCCCGCTCCCCTGGCCTCAACCTTCCCTCCCCCCTGGCCTCAACCCCTCTCCTCAACCCCCTCCCCCCTGGCCTCATCAAACCCCCTCCCCCCTTTGGCCTGCAACCCCCTCCCCCCTGGCCTCAACCCGCCTCCCCTCCCTGGCCTCAACCCCCTCCCTGGCCTCAACCCCCTCCCCCTGGCCTCACCCCCCTCCCCCTGGCCTCAACCCCCTCCCCCTGGCCTCACCCCCCTCCCCCTGGCCTCAACCCCCTCCCCCTGGCCTCAAACCCCTCCCCCCTGGCCTGCAACCCCCTCCCCCTGGGCCTTGCAACCCCCTCCCCCCTGGCCTCAACCCCCTCCCAACCTGGCCTCAACCCGCCCGGCCTCCCGCGGCCTCAACGCTCCCTCGGCCCCTGGCCTCAACCCCCCTCCCCCTGGCCTCAACCCCCTCCCCTGGCCTCTCAACCCCCTCCCCCTCTGGCCTCAACCCCCTCCCCCTGGCCTCAACCCCCTCCCCTTGGCCTCAACCCCCTCCCTGGCCTCAACCCCCTCCCCCTGGCCTCAACCCCTCCCCCCTGGCCTCAACCCCCCCCTGGCCTCAAACCCCCCTCCCTACCCTCCCCCCTGGCCTCACCCCGCCTCCCCTGGCCTGCCACCCTCCCCCGCTGGCCTCACCTCCCTGGCGTCCCCCTCCCCCTGGCCTCAACCCCCTCCCCCTGGCCTCACACGCCCCTCCCCTCCTGGCCTCAACCCCCTCCCCTGGCCTCAACGCCCCTCCCCCTGGCCTCAACCCCGCTCCCCCCCTGGCCTCAACCCCTCCCCTGGCTCACCCCCTGCCCTGGCCGAACGCCCCCCTCCCCCCACTGGCCTCAACCCCCTCCCCCTGCCTCTCCCCTCTGGCGCAACCCCCTCACCGCCTCTCAACCCCCTCCCCTGGCCTCAACCCCTCCCCCTGGCCTCAAACCCCTCCCCTGGCCTCAACCCCTCCCCCTGGCCCTCAACCCCTCCCTGGCCTCAAACCCCCCTCCCCCTGGGCCTCAACCCCTCCCCCCTGGCCTCAACCCCCTCCCCTGGCCCTCAACCCCCTCCCCCTTGGCTCAACCCCCTCCCCTTTGGCTGCAACCCCTCCCCCTGGCCTCAACCCCCTGCCTGGCCTCCCCCTCCCCTGGCCTCAACCCCTCTCCCCCTGGCCTCAACCTCCCCCCTCACCCCCTGGCCTCAACCCTCCCCCTGGCTCAACCCCCTCCCTGCCAACCCCGCTCTGGCCTACCTCCCCTGGCCTAACCCCCTCCCTGGCCTCAACCCCTCCCCCCTGGCCTCAACGCCTCCCCCCTGGGCTCAACCCCTCCCCCTGGCCTCAACCCCCTCCCCCCTGGCCTCAAACCTCCCCTGGCCTCAAACCCCCCCCCTGGCCTCACCCCTCCCTCTGGCCTCAACCTCTCCCCCGGCCTCAACCCCCTCCCCCCTGGCCTCACCACCTCCCCCCTGGCCTCAACCCCTCTCCCCCCTGGCCTCAACCCTCCCTGGCTCAACCTCCCCTCGCCCCTGGCCCCACCCCCTCACCTCTGGGACTCAACCCCCCCCCCCTGGCCCCCTGGCCTCAACCCCTCGCCCCCTGGCCTCAACCCCACTCCCCTTGGGCCTCAACCCCCTCCGCCCCCTGGCCTCAACCCCTCCCCATCGGCATCAACCCCTCCCCCTGTGGCCTCAACCCCTCCCCCCGTGGCCCTCAACACCCTCAGCCACCCTGGCCTTCAACCCCCTCCCCTGGCCTCAACCCCCTCCCCTTGGCCTCAACCCCCCCCCTGGCCTCAACCCCTCCCCCTGGCCCTCACCCCTCCCCCCTGGCCTCAACCCCTCCCCCTGGCCTCAACCCCCTCCCCCTGGCCTCAACCCCTCCACCACCTCGGGCCCTCAACGCCCTCTCCCCTGCGCCTCACCCACACTCGGCCCCTGGGCCTCAAACCCTCCCTCGGACCCTTCTCGGCCGTAACTCGCTCTGACCCTGGCCTCACGGTATATCCCCCTCCCTCTTGTGCGCGTCAAATCCCCTCCCCTTGATGCGCTCACCCCCTCTCTCCCCTGCGCGCCAAACGTCCCTCCCCCCTGGCCTCGTAGACACCACTCGCCCCGTGCCCTCAAGACCGATCCTCCACGCCTTGGCGCTCTACACGGTGAAAACAAGCCCCTCCACCCCCTGGCGTCAGAAGTGGGCAAGGACAACCCCACTCCCCCTGGCCTCAACCCCCTCCCCCTGGCCCAACCACCCAAATCCCCCACCTTGGCCTCGAACCTCACCTCTGGACCACCGTCTGGCTCAACCCCTCCCCCTGGCCTCAACCCCGCTCCCACTGGCACAGAATCAAAAACTGCGCCCTCCAATACTCCACTGGACCTCCACAACCCTACTCCCACCCTGGCCTCGGAACCCGGCCCTCGCCCGCTGGCGCTCAACGCCACCTCAACCACTGAGCGCGTCTGAAACCACCTCCCCCCCTGGTCCTCTCAAACCGCCCTCACCTCATGGGCCTCAACCGCCGCTCCCCCTGGGCCCCTCGAAGCCCCCGCTGCTCTCGGCTGCTCAACCCCTTTCACCCTTTGGGCCTTCAAACCCCCCTCTAACCAGCCCTGGCCTCAACCCACGTCTCCCTGGCCTCGACGAGCAGCGCGCCTCCCCTGGCCTGAAGCCCCGCCCCTGGCCTTGACCCCTCCCCCTGGCCTGAACCTCCCCCTCCCCCCACTACGCCCAAAATACACAGGCTCCTCCTAGAAGCTTTATTCGCGTGTTTGTAAAGTGCTTTTCCCGCTTATATTGAAGGAGGGACATGATATATACGCGACATCCCCTCGGCACCGTTGACCGCCCCCATCCTCCCCGCCCCCTCCTCGCTATTTCAATTGCGATAATTTTATCACGACAATTATATCACCATTCATGTTTCTGGGAGAAAGGTATCTGAGTCTTTTTTCTTTTTCTTTTAGTGCATTTGGTGTGATATAGATGCTGTTGGTTTCTTGAGGAGTGAAAGGTGATATAATTGACACCCTAGGACAATTTGGTAAACAATGATGAGGATAATAGTGATTATACGATGTCAGGATAATGATTGGTAAGTGATAATTTGATAATGATGAATAATATTATAATAGGAAATGATAAGTTATTAGAAATAATAATAAGAGAAAAACAAGAAATTAATAGCCTTCTAAGTGTCAACAATGATAGATTTACCATCTATTGTTTTCACATTATTTCTTATTATTATCAGTCATATATCAATTAAGTTATACATTTATCGTTTGCTATTGATTGTCACTTATATTATTACTATCATCATCATCAATAAGCATTAATTGTTGTGATCCATATCATGTTCTTGTTGTTGTTCTTGTTATTGGGTTATTATCATTATATATTACTTCACCAGAATTGTGTCATATGTTGTTTTATTTATTGTTTGCTTAGAGATAAGAGTTGTGTATTGATCGATTGTCGAGAGTAATCATTATTATCACTCATCAATAATTTGTTATTCAACATTATGTCTCTTATTATCATCATTATTAACATTAATTTCAAACATTCAATTAAGTATTATTAATCACTGTTGGGAGGGTTTATATATTAAACTATTGTATCCTAGAATCAGTTAGGATTAATTAGTTGATTATCATTATTATTTACTATATTTGTTTGATATGATGAAGCTATCATAATTGGTTCAGCCGTTGGCTATTATTTAAAGTCGTCATTATTAAATTATTTCATACTATTATTATCAACATGCTCATTATCATCATATGTGACTATTAATATGTAATTATTCTTTATCATCAATTATTCATATATATCATTAGGTCTCGATGGCATTTTCGGGTATGCGTTTACCCTTTATCGCTACCTATTATCATTATTATCATCAAACCTGATAGCTTATGCATCTAAATCAGTTACTATTACTTATCATTATTATGATTATATATAAACTACTACAACCATTACTATCATTATTATGATATATTAAAAACCAGTTTAACTATCATTGATTTATGAATCATTATTATTTAGTACTTATTTATACCTTATTATCATTGTTGATATATAATCATTATTACTACATTACTATTATTGTTATTATATGATTCGTCAGCTTTTATTGTAAATGCATTGATTACATACTAGTGGTATATATTATCATAGATTAGTCTATTTATACGTTATTATTACTATCAATTATTCTCATCAAACGCAGCTTTATCATTATCAATTCCAAACATCCCCTTCGAAGAACAAAAAATACACAAACTAACAATAAACTAGAGAGGAAGAGAATAAAAAAAACAATAAAACAAACAAAAACAAAACCTATATAAATACGCGGAAATAAGAAGAAGAAAAAAAAGGAGAGGTAATACAAAAGATGGAATAAAACGAAGAGGTAAAAAAGAAAGAAAGAAAGACAAGAAAAAAAAAAAAAAAAAAAGCTGAGGCGGTACCGAGAGAACTGCGTAAATTGCAGGCCGTCAGTTGGAAGCAAACATGTGGAGTCTGGAGAGGGCAAGATATCGTGGCCGCTTCATGCCGCACTCGGTGGGTCTTGCTTTGCGTGGGAGGCTGGGCGGGGAGAGGGGGGGAGGGAAGGAAGGGAGGGGAGATAAAAAGGGGTGGGGAGGAGGGGGAATGGGAAGGAGGTGAATTGAGAGAGGGTAGGAGGGAGACATGACCGGAGGGAGGTGGAGTGAGGGAGAAGAAAAGCGGCTTGAGATAATAGGGAGATGAGAGAAAGATAGAGGGAGGGAGAAGGGAGAGGGATATGTGAGGATGAGGGGAGAGGGGAGGAAGGGAGTATGGAGTATGAGAAGAATGGAGTAATGGAGATGGAGATGGAGATGGAGAGGAGAGAGAGGGAGGATGGGAGAGAAGAAGGGAAGGAGGAGAAGAGGGAGAGGGAGAGGTGAAGAGAGGATAAGATGGGAGAGAGTGAGAGTCATTAGGAGAAGCAGGAAGAATGTGCTAGGGAGAGGGTATGCAGGAGAGGTGAGGTGCTGAGGGTGAAGGACAAGAGAGGGGAGAGGAAGATGTATGAGGAGAGAGAGAGGAGAGAGAGAAGGGAGTAGATAGAGTAGTAGGAGAATAAGAGGGAAGAAAGAGGACAGAGAGAGATGAGGAGAGAGAGAGAGAGAGAGAGAGCAAGAGGAAGAGAGAGAAAGAGAGAGAGACAGAGGAGAGAGAGAGAGAGAGAAGACAGACAGAAAGAGAAAGAAAGAGAGACAGAGGAGAGAAAGAGGGAGACAGACAGAGAAGAGAAAGAGAGAGAGACAGAGGAGAGAAAGAGAGAGAAAGAAAGAGAGAGACAGAGGAGAGAAAGAGAGAGAGAGCAGCAAGGACGCATTCAAATAAAGACGCAAAAATACTTTCAGAGTTCAGCTGAAAGCCTGGAACACCTGCCATGAATAATAAACACCCGAAAGGGGAGGATGAAAAAATAAACTTGAGAGATTTTACTCTGAGAAAAAATTCTAAGAAAGCAAGAAAATGCATTTGGGTGGGATAAGATGATGCTAATATGTTTGTCGGATTATTAATGGGATGAAAAATCTAATGGAGTGACGAATAGATGTATAAAATAATTATTGAATATAGCCTGGAGGAAATGTAAATAGGTAAGACAGATGATGGAGTCAATAGGATAAATGAAGTAGAAATAATGAGACGAAGGGATAAATCACTAAAGAGAGGCAGCGGAATGATATAAATAATCTAGATAATATGTAATGAGGTTGAGGACCAATAATAAAATAATAGATAAGTAATAAGAAATAGTAAGGATAATAATGACGATATGAATGTACTAATGAATAATGAACAACAATGATGATAATAAATATTATAATAATAGATAGATAGTAAGATAATAATAAATGATGATAATGATACGGATATAATAATAAATAATAATAATAATAGTAATAGTAAATAATAAATAATTAAATAATAATAATAATAATAATAATAATAATAAATAATGAAGTAAGTAGAGTCAGCTAAACGTAATTACTAATAATAAAATAATAATAATATAATAATAGGTAAAAGCCCATATAATTGGAGATATGAAATAGTGCATAAATATGAAAAATAATGGAAAAAATAGTGAGATAATAATAGAGTAGGTCGGAGAATAATGAATAAGTAAGGTAGATAATGAATAATAATAATAATAAAATAAATAAATAGAGAATAGATTATAAATAATATATAGGTCTGGTCGAAAAAAAAAAAAAAAAGATCGGAGTATTCATACCGAAGAGCTTGAGATGAGTGGATATTGTAAATCACACAAGCGAACAATACCCAACCCACGCCCAATGTCGCATAAGGCATAGCTTTCCTGGGGCAGGAGGGAAACAAAGGTTATGGTCATAATGGGATTTATGCAGAAAAATGTGATGGATGACAATAAGCGTGATGGGAGCGGTATTTAGAGGATAGGCAGTGATAGAGATCATTCCTGCCAGGGATTAATGTGCTGGAAAATGTTACTTCCTCCGGTGTTAAATTATGAAAAATCGTATATATCAAGGAACAAAGAGGTACTTTTATTTAGTCTGTACGAGTAGAAGCAATTAAAAAAACGAGAAAATAGAATAAGAACAGGACGAATGCTGCCGAGAGGCGAAAAAAGAAGGGCATCAAAAAAAAATCCGGGTGGGAAGGGACGGCGTTATCAGGCACCAACAGAGGACACTCGAGGATATTCGGTCGATAAAAGTATCTCTCAGGGGAGATACAAATAGGGAGGTGGGGAGGCGGAAAATAGGAAATAGAAACAAGAGGGAGGGATGGAAGATAAAGAAGTAGGGGTAGAGATTAGTGAAAGAAGATCGAAGATCAAAGATTAAGAAAGAATGCATTGAAAAGAATACCAAAATAGAAACAAGAAGAGATCAGATATGAGCATTCTATATATAATCTTCCTTTACGACGTTTTGGAAGAATGAAATGGATAAAAAAAAAAGCAAGAAAAATCAAAACAAACGCAAACTGTCCATTACAATTAAAAATTAAAATGCGAAAAAACAGCGAGAACAATAAAGAAAAGCAAACGAACAAAAGATCATGCATGCTAAAAACATGAGAGCAAACAAACAGCGGGCAGGCTTTAAGAGGAACATATCCGAGCAAGCACCCGAGGATCCGCCCACACGTGCTGGAAATAGCTTTTAAAATCGTGTGTAATGTATTAATAGTAAGCTGGTGTAGTAAAGATTCGGAGGGCACCCGTCGGAGAGTTGTATGTTAAAGCCCTTGGATCTCTTCTTTGCACATTATAATTTCATTCAGCTCTGGCACTGTTGCGTAAGTATATAAACTAAATTGAAGATGCACAGGTTTATTAAGAAAAAGTTCTCAGGATATGCAGTCCAAGGATAGGTATAATGCGTGTTAAAAAGTAACTGAATAATGGTTAATTGGAATTA